CATTGATATTTTCAAGAATACCTGAATCTCTTCCTGACTGATGGACACTCTTTGAGGCTAGCTGAATCTCTTCCTGACTGATGGACACTCTTTGAGGCTAGCTGAATCTCTTCCTGTGATTCCTTACAAAGCGATCTTTTCAAGACTACCTTACAAATTGAGCTTTTCCTTTAATCGTTTTAATACTACCTTATGCTTTACAAGCTTGGCTACATACCACCTACAAGTACTAAAGCCAAGGGTGCACACGAGTGTGTTATTTGCAAGCACACAGAACAATGAAACAGGAAACGAAAATCTATCTGTAGCTGGTGCAAGGAGAGCAAAGTCGCACTGTGTACCATGGACTACTACTTTGACTATTATGCACCTCCAAAGTACTGTGTAATACAGTGTGTTACTGTGTAAATAGTATGTGAAACTGTACATATTGTAATTTTAGTGAATTTTTACCATGTAATATTGTGACAATAAACATTTATTGTGGACACATTACTGACACATGTATCACAGTTCCATGGAAAATTATGAACATTCTACTGTATACATATTGTAAAGGTCACAAATATGCATCATATACGATAAAAGAAACAAATAAAACCGCATTGGAAATGCATAGAAAATATATTTGTGGCAACACGCGGTGCTTGAATGGCCTGCGCGACCGTGTCTGGGAGCTTCACACACGGGCGACCAGGCCCTGATGACGTCACAGCGTACCTTGTCCACGTCCTCACAGCCAAAGTAAGTGAAATTTGGTAGTTATTTTTACATAGACATGTTCAGGGACAGTAATTTATCATTTTGCAAAGAAAAATGATATTTTGGGGAACATTTGATGTCATGCACACTGGGGGAATTTCACAATAAACACAGTGCATCACACTGGTTACTTGGGGGGACACTAGTTTTGTATGACGTCCGTTTCACATGACGAACATGGAACGGATTAAATTCGTTATGCGAGGTACCACTGTATATAGGTGTATGTGTACTTTTTCTTTCAGAATGGGCTGTTCCCGTCTCTGTTGACGGGGCACTGGGGGAGCAGCTTGCTCTGTTGACTCTCGTATGGTCCTGCTGTTGGTGGGCGCTTTTGGTTGTCTTCCGGCCTCTGATGGCGGCGGTGGACGGCTTCTTCCCCTTTGGGGGGTTCAGAGCTGGCGGGGTGGGCTTCTTCCCCTGCACTTCGTCATGTCATCTTGGTGGGGTGCGTTGGTTGTTGTTGATCTGCCCCATCCTTCTGGGGTTCCCGTCTGCTCTTTGCAGACATGGGCCTTCGAATCTGCGGTTCTTCTGGACTTCTTCAGTCTGCGCCCTGGTTTCTATGCCCTCCTCGGAGGACTGTTGTCTCCTATCCGGCTTCTGTTGGGGCCGGGTGCCTGGATGGTGGCCCTGGACCTCCAGGTCAATTATTGGCACTTGGTGTATTTTTGCATCTTTACCGGATCTTGGTGCCCTGTCTGAGTCTGCTAGAGATTCGGTGTCTGGCCTACCTCGACAACTGGCTGGTGTGGGCTCCCAGTCGGTTCGCTTGTCTGCTAGCCGGGGGTGTGCTTCTTTTCAGATCGCCGGGTTTGGTTTCCTGGTGATCTGGAGGCCATTCCATCTGTTTCCGTCCCGGGTTCGGACCTGGGCCTTGATTAGGGCTATTGGGCCATTCCTTGTCTTTCCCTCCAGAAGTGTTACTGCGGTTGTGGTCCCGTCTTTGGCTGTTCGTGAGGGGGTCCCGGGTTGCTCGAGCGGTTGTGCGGGAGTCTGAATTTCGACGTGCTGGTCTGCCCGCAGGGTCTGGATTGGCTTCGGCGTCTGTTTGGTTCCTTCCGAGACTCCCCTTCCGCCTCTTGCAATCGTTGGGTTCGTTCCTCCGGAAATCTTGTGTTGGTGCTGCATAACCAGCTTCCTCTTTGGGGTTTTCGGGGTTCCGTGCCTTGGCACCTCCCCGAGCCTTTGTTCGATGTGTTCACAGACGGGTCATCTCTCGGCTGGGGCTTTGTGATTAGTGCTCACCAGGTCGGCCGGGGATGATGGAGTCTGTCCGTTCGTTGGGCTCACAGCACAGTTCGGGAGTTCGTGGCTGTCTGGTTTGCGCTTCGGAGGGTTTGGGTCACTCAGTGCTCTACCATTCAGCTCCATTCGGACTGTTCTCTGGCGGTTCTTGCCAGTACCACAGGGTTTCTCTTAGGTGTTGACCTTTGGGGTTGGTTCCTTGGAGTGGCTTGTTTGGTGGATTCTCGGGGTTTGGCTAACTGTGAGTTTCATGTCTGGGGTGTGCCCTGCATCCTGGCGGACAGCTGTCTCGGTTCATTCCTCTGTTTGCAGATTGGCCAGTCGTCGCCAACTCGTTTCGTTGGCTCTGCCGGATGTATGGACTCCTGGCCATGGACGTTCTTCGAGTTGGCGTGGTCTAGGCATCACCCATTTTATGTGGCGCCCTTACCCGCCTGTGAGGTGTTCACGTTGGATGCTTTTCGGCAGGACTGGTCGAGGTGGGGGTACCTGTTCCTCTTCTCCCGGTCCAGTTGTTGCTTCGGGTTCTGGCTCAGTTGCAGCCCATTCCCACGAGAGCAGTCCTTATGGTTCCTTGGTGGCCAGCCCAGCTTCTTTTCAGACGCTGCTTGATAAGTGTCCGAACCCGGGGCGTTTTCCCACGGCTCCACCTCTTTCAGCAGGTCGGATCGGTCCTGTACGTGACTGGTTCGGCCTGCTCCTCGGCTCTTCGTGTCTGGTATTTTGATGCGGGTATCACCATCTCTGTGGTGTTCAGGTGGCCTTGTTGACGGTGTCCCACCTGCGAGCTTCGTCTTGGCGACAGTATGACGTTCCTGGTGTTTCTATGCACTTTTTCTTGCTCTTTGTACGTTGTCTTCTCTTCGTAGCGGGTTGTCTTGTCCTTTCTTGGGTTTTTCTGGACTACAGTTATTTGACGTTTTCTTACTGTTGCCTCGTTTTATGCAGTGCTGGCGGAGCCGCTCCGGCTTGCGTTTAGGGTGGACGTCACATCTGCCCCGTTTCGTACGCTTTCTCGTGTTTTGTTTCACCTCCGGCCTGCTTATGCATCCCCTGCGCTGTCCTGGTCCTTGATCAGGGCGCCTTCTTCTTCTCAGTTTGTTGTAGTCCCTTCGGTTCAGGTTTCTGCTCCTTGGTACTGGCAGTAGATTTGTATGTGTGCAGCCTTTCTCTGTCCTGGCGACGGTTGAGACGGCTGGTTTCCGGAGGGTTTCCTGGATTATTGATGCTTGACTGGTTTGGCCGGGGGTGCGTCCTGTGTTGTCTAGTTGCGTTTTTGCCGTTACCTGCGTACCGTGTCTGGGGATGCGCTTTGGTTTGATCCGGTTCCCCTCGTTCCCTGTTTCGAGGCTCGGGTCTCCCAGGTTGTCCGCAGAGTTTTTCAGTCTTCCAGCCTGCGGTCTGTTTTTGCGCCCGTGCTGTTCGGACGTTTGCAGCTTTTGCTGCTGTATTGTTGACGTCTAGGGCTCTTTTTGGGCGCAGGGAATCGAGGGTCGCACAGGTTCTTGGCCGCCCAATCTTCATGCGCGTCTGCTCCTGTGCGTTCTTGTTGCCTTGGGTCGCAGGTTGCATCCTGTTGTCTCGGCTTTGCGTCGCGGAGTTTGTGGCGGCTGCCTCCGGGTTAGCCCTTTCTTTTCCTTCTCTTTGGGTATGAAGCTCCAGGGAGCCATAGGGGCTCCCCACAGAAAACCAGCGTTGAATGTAATGAAACGCTATTTTCTGGGTGAGCCCCAGAGGCTTCCTGGCAACCCTCCCTCCAACCGGTCGGCGTTTTTTTCGCGTTGGTTGAAGCTTAGCTTCTAAACTGAAGCTTGGCAGCCGGCGCGGTATGTCCGGGGCTCCCCCCTCCCCCTCTCTGGGCAGGGAGGGCTGCACGAATGATCAGCGCGGCAGTAAAGTTTGATGTTTGCTTGTTTCCTTGGGAGTGTAGGGAGTTTCTACCTCTCTGTTTATTTTTTTGTTTTAGTTTTTTACCATGTGGGGGTTTGTTTTGTTATGCCAACCTTTCTGGGTGCCTAACCCCGGCTGATGGCAGATAAGGAAAACCCCAACCACAAAGGAGTTTTCCAGGGCCATTGCTCCCTGAAACCTCTCTGTAGGGGCCAGGTTCTGGCGCTGGTCCCTGGTAGGTCTGAACTCCTTAGCTAATGCCCCGGTCTAATATAACATACATTAGCCCGATAAGCTCCAGGGAGCCTCCGGGCCTCACCCAGAAAATGGCCTTTCATTACATTCAACGCTGTTTTTTTCGCTGTACTTTCCAGGTGGTTTTACCCAGTTATGAGGTTGGTCTTAGATCCCAATGCTCCGCTTGTCTTGATGAGTACACCAGATTGTGGTTGTGTTGTAAGGTAGGCCCTTAACAAGCCCAGAGGCCTGGTGGTTTTGTGGCTGAAGCATAAGAAGCAATGCTCCAGGGAGCCACTGAGGGAGCCCAGAAAAGGGGGTTTCATTATATTTAATATGCAGTACTTGATTTTGTCTGGGTTTCAGATTGATCTCTGAGCTCCAAGCTGCCGTACCCTAGCACCCGGTCTTCAAGAGTGGGTCTCAAGATCTGTGAGCTCCAAGCTGCCGTACCCTAGCACCCGGTCTTCAAGAGTGGGTCTCAAGATCTGTGAGCTCCAAGCTGCCGTACCCTAGCACCCGGTCTTCAAGAGTGGGTCTCAAGATCTGTGAGCTCCAAGCTGCCGTACCCTAGCACCCGGTCTTCAAGAGTGGGTCTCAAGATCTGTGAGCTCCAAGCTGCCGTACCCTAGCACCCAGTCTTCAAGAGTGGGTCTCAAAAATTCTTCTGAATCTGCCAAAGGCAATTATGAACTAGTGCTTACCTGAGCCTGGGAAACCACCAAGAGAATCCTCACACACAACTCTAACCATTCAATGTGTACCTTTCTCAACATATTCAACAAATTTCAACAATGAAGAAAAGACTAAGTAATAAGTTATCCAAGTCAATTAATTAACTGAATCACATTTTCTGAACCAACCTGAGGAGCTGCAGCAGCTTCGTGATGACTGTGCACAGAAAATGTAAGTGTAGACGGAACAGGATTCAGTGATATAGAAAATTTATCCACGGACATAGAGAGAAGAGCTGTTAACCGGTGAACTGTGTGTGGAAGGATAGGCCCTGATATCTCCATACTGTGTTGAACATCACCATCCTGACGAACCATGCCACCTTTTACCTTTTATGAATACAAAATAGGTTTTAGTGTTTCAATAATTATATTTTTTTATGAAAATATTAAAAATAAGCATATCTTTACCTTTTGTGTTGCCCCAAATAATTCTATAGTCTCACCTCATTCTATAGGAATGCCCATTTGACACTAGACACTTCTTGTCAATCATTTTCCATGTTTGGAAAAAATCCAGTCCTTTAGTTTCCACCCAGGGCCTTAGTAAAACTATGTGGATCTTGTCTGGGACATTACCCTCCACTTACTGAATACGCATTGAAGTAAATGAGTTTTTTTTTTTCTATGTATGCAGACCATCAGCTGGGTATAACCACAGTACCTTATTTAACATTATATGAATATATATTATATATGCTGTTGAATATGACCGAAAGGGTAAGATTAATAATTCTAACACGAATCTTCTCAATATTTCTTACGTTTTTCTTCACTGTCGAGGGTAATTGAAAAATTAACTCTCCAAAATTTATTTTTTACATTTATATTTTTGGTCTGACGCCTAAAAGCGTTTTGTAAGGGCTTCTTACATTCTCAAAGACTGGTTTACATATAACATACATCATGCTTAAATTTGTTTTGGGTGAGGTGATATGACAAAAGTTTTGGGTGAGGTGGGTATAAATTGGGTATGAAAACATAAGAATGGAAGTAACTACAGAAGGCCTATTCGTCCATACTTTCTCTTACTGCTCCTATGTTGGTTCGGGGTCTTGAAGTGGGTAGAATAAAGTTATGTGTTAATTGGCTGTTGATTGCTAGTGTTGACTTTTCGATGTCTGTAGAGTTTTTCATGAGTAGGTTGGCCATTTTTTTGGTTTTGTAGTAAACTGTCAATTGCATTTTCTGATTTTTGTCTGTAGAGATAATGTTCCTATTAATAATATCTTTCAGGACACTTTCCTCCGTTTTATGAGCCGTCGAAAAGAAGTTCCTGTAAAACAGTCTAATAGGGGATACAAGTGTTGTGCTAGTTGACTCTTCATAGGTTGCATGGCGTTTCACCTTTCTTTTTATGACGTCTTCAACATAACCGTTAGAGAAGCCATTGTTGACTAGGACCTGCCTTACCCTACAGAGTTCTTTATCGACTTACTTCCATCCTGAGTTGTGACTGAGAGCCTAGTCAACATAAGCGTTGACAACTAAGACCCTCTGCTCTATGGTACCCATGTAGAAGTTCGCAAACAGGACACCTTGGGGAGAACCCATGGCAACCCAATCTACTTGCTTATATATATGTGCCCATCTGGACTCAAGAAGGGTGCCTCTTTAGGGCAGGCTCGGGTCTCCCAGGTCATCCGCAGGGTTATTAAGTCTGCCAGCATGCGGTCTATCCTTGCGCCAGTGCTATTCGAAAGTTTGCAGCTTTTGCTGCCGTGTTTGGTAACATGTCTTGGGCTCATTTCGGGCACGGGGATTTGGAGGTCGCACAAGTTCCTGGTCGCCCATTATTTTGTGAGCGTGTCTACTCCTGGGCGTTCTTGTGTTGCTTTGGGTCACAGGCTGCATCCTGTTGAGGAGTTTGGGGCGGCTGCCTCCCGGGTCAGCCCTTTCTTTTCCTTCTCTTTGGGTATGTAGCTCCAGGGAGCCATAGGGGCTCCTCTCAGAAAACCAGCTTTGAATGTAATGAAACCCCATTTTCTGGGTGAGCCCCAGAGGCTCCCTGGCAACACTCCCTCCTACCAGTCGGCATTTTTTTCGCATTTGTTGAAGCTTAGCTGCTGAACTGGAGTGCTATGCAGCCGGCACAGTGAGGTCCAGGGCCCCCCTACCCCCTCTTGGGAAGGGGAGGGCTGCGCGGACGAGCGGCGCGGCAGTAGAATGTTACATTTGCTTGTTGGCTTGTTTCCTAGGGATTGTAGGGAGTTCTACCTCTCTGTTCGGTTTTTGTTGTTAGTTTCTTACCATGTTTCTAAGTCACCGGAGGCAAACCTAAGTCACTGGAGGCAAACCCTAAGCAGTTTAAAGACCAACTAATGAAAATAGAACACTGCTTGGAAAACGTCACAAATCCAGCCCCGAACATCATTCTGCTTGGGGACTTCAACCTACGGCACCTGAAATGGAAGCACCTGGCTAATGCAGTAATATCAGAAGGAATACCAGGAAGTAGCCTAAATGAACAGGCACATGCAAATGACCTGCTACAGATGTGCGACAGGTTTGCATTAACCCTTAAACTGCGCATGGCGTATATATACGCCCTGAGTAACATGTCCCATGGTGCGCATGGCGTATATATACGCCATAGGGTGCCAGGCCTGATTCAAATGGCCCGCGGCTACACGGGGTTCACAGTAGCTTCCTCAGGGCTCTTGTAAACAGATGCCATTTAAAAAAAAAAATCGTGGGCAATATTCTCAGGTGTGAGAGGCACAGTACTGTTGGAGCAACCAAGGCCGGCGCACGCAGCATGAGCGAACAGCATTGATGTTCAGCTTGTGACCACAGCATCGCCGAAAAATGTCAAAATAAATATATAATTGTTATTATTTAGCGATGACAATATTACAGATGACCAATGACTGTGATATAAATAACCAGGGTTGTGATAATAGCAGGATTGTTGTAATAATTAGCGCTGTGGGAGGAGTGATGCTGAGAGACGGAGGGAGACAGCATCGTTTACCGACTGTGTACTCACCTAATTGTGCTTGCGGGGGTTGAGCTCCGGCTCTTTGGTCCCGCCTCTCAACCCTCTCAACCCTCAACCACAACTGTGTGGCCACCTGTTATTGTTTGCATTCACCAAACCAGGTCAGTGGTTCTCTATGGTGAACACAAATGTAGATACTTATATATAATGTGAGTATTAGTGTAATAACAGCAAAAGGATTATGCTGGGAGGCGCCATATGGGTGACGGAGGTGACGTCGTCTGCACGATTTGTCTAGCTGTTTAGAGGGTGGCCACTATGCTCTTTGGGCGCACTACAAGCTTAGGTGTACAGTTACCGTGCATAAAACATGTAGATATTTATATATAATATGTGTATATAGGGTAATAACACTGAAAACAGTATTGTTGGGGGAGAAAGTTTAGTGCGTGTGACCTTGAAAGAGTGAGGGAGCCGCCATCTGTGTATAGCGACGACTCTTAGTGCCTGAACTAACTATATCAGCTTAGCTGTACAGTTGTGGTGAACAAAATATACACATACTTATATATAACGTCTGTATATAGTGTAATAACACCACAACTGGTATTGTTGGGGGAGAAAGTTTAGTGCGTGTGTTGAGGGAGTGGCAGCGAGTGGCTGGCTGGTGTGTGGCGGTAACTCCTTGTTGCTTTTCGACTCTCAATACCAACTTAGTGGTTCGTTATGGTGACCAAAACATGCAGATACTTATATATAACCTGTGTATAGAGTGTAATAGCAGCAAAACTATTTGTTTATAGTTTTATAAACATAATAATTGAATCACTAATATGCACATCATACTTTTGAGTATAGCGATTATTAACCACTTTTATTATATAAATATATTACAATACACACTATTGAATAATATTACTGCAAAAAAACTAAGAAAAAATCAATCAGAGACATTGAAACAATTAGGTAATAATATCTTTGTGGCAACTCCCATCTGTCAACACGGGTGACGCTGACTGGGTCTGACGACCGCTCTGTCAATGCCCACTTTTTGCCAGACTTCCTCGGTCAATTGCGCCCAAAATATGTCACCTACGATTTTTTTTTATTTTTTCCGTGCTCAGGGGACACAAATTAACATGTTTAGAAGACGAAAAAAAATTTTTGAATTTTTTTTTTTTCTTGCGCACAGGGGTGTAAATGTCCCAAGAACCCCTGAGCAGTGTAAGGGTTAAACCAGCAAATGGTAGAACCAACTAGGAAGGAGAACACGCTGGACCTCATTTTCACCAATAATGATGAATTGGTCAGGAACATAATGATTACATGTTACCATTTCCACTACACAGTGGTAGAAATGGCCCCTATGCCCGTCCATTTTTATTTTTTTGATGGACGGGCATAAGCGCAGGGGGGGGGGGGGGGTTATCCATATTTCTGCATGGACGGTCATAGCATAGGGGGTATTCTCTATTTTTATGCAGACGGACGGGCATAGCATAGGGTGTTTTTCGATTTGTTTTCAATGCAGGAACAATAGCCCATGGGTTCTTTTCATATTTTCATATCATTTATCAATCTCACCTTTGAATCATATATTATTTTCCCAAAATGTTGATTAAATGGTAGCTTCCTAGTCCCTGCCATTTCGCTCAAGGGGATTAAAAGGCCGGCTCCTGGCGCACCCAAATTCTGTTACCCCGGTGACCCAGCACAGACATTGCTAATGGTCAATGATGTCACCCCATCTTCATCTTCCTTGAATAAGTATGTGTTACGACCCTGGGTTCCTCAAGTGGAAACCAGAGGTCAAATTGAACTAAATAAGCTACGTTAGATTAGCAAGACGCAAGTCGACGTGTCTTTGTTCGTATCTTCCCTGCCAAACGTAGGACGAATCTTGTTGCTCACAAGCATTCAGACTCTTGAGCTTGTTGTGGATTAAGTATAACATTGTTATAAGATTAACTACCCTGAGAACGAGTAAAGTAACAATATGTTGCATAGGGGAAGATTTTTAATGTGTTTAGCTGCACGATCAATTAGGCTCCTCCCGGCACCACAATGCGGGAGCCCTGAGCTGGTCGCTGGAAACTTGCTGCTCTGTTGGCGTTCGAGGCGTGAACAGCGGGACTCTGTGGCTGCACCTCTCTCCCCTTCTACCTTTCCTCTTACTTATTTCCCTTACCTTAAGTTAAGTATATGCTGTGTTGTAAGTGTGCCTACTCTGGTAGTAAAGATTGGTGAGACCTGAGGGTAGTATTTGCCAGTGTTTTGGGTATCCCTAAGTGTTGTGTTGTGTTGTGTTGTATTAGGGTACCACGTGGTCTCACTACCCTAAGCTGCTTCAAGCTTCAGTTCTTAACCAGTAGTACTTTACCCTAGCTTT